TCTCTCTCTCTCTCTCTCTCTCTCTCTCTCTCTCTCTCTCTCTCTCTCTCTCTCTCTCTCTCTCTCTCTCTCTCTCTCTCTCTCTCTTTTTTTTCCCCTCTCCTGCCCACTACGTTTTTCCTTTCTTCCTTCTTGAATCCCTCCCTTCCGCCTGTCCAATTCCATCTTTCAACTTGTACCCTCCATCCCGCCTGCTAATCTTCCCCCCATCAACCAATCCGCTTTACCCCGTCCTCCTCTCCTCTCCATCTCCTGTGCCTGTGCCCCCTCTCTTCCCGTCTTTTTTCTCCACGCCTTTTTCTCCTCTAATCTCATCCCCTTCTTACAAGTCGAATACCTATTCCTCCCCCACTTACTCTACGTGGCCCCTGTGCAGCTGCTATGTACTTTCCTCTCTTCCTCTGTCTGTCTCCCTTTCTCTCTTCGTTGCTCTCTCCCCCTCACCTGTTTATCCACATTTACCCTACCCCTCCCTGCTTCAGACCCTTCGTCATTATCCTGCTCTCTCCTTTTTACTTACAACCTACCGCAAGTGTTCTAGCATTACCGTAGTATGTGCAGGGAGGGATAACAACGCATTAGTTGGGCCCTATGGCGATAGAGTAACAACCATAAGACAGATCAAATTCAATTTGATTGATTTGATGATTCACTCACTGAACTGGTGCGCTGTTCTCCGATTTACTCGAATCGAAATATGACTTTCTTTTTCTTTTTTTCTTTTTTTGACTTGTTTCTCAAAGTATTCCCCTCCTTCCTCGGTGCGCCACTCTAGCTGTGCCTTTCTAATCTCTTCTTCCCCACCTTGTCGGGATCCCGCCCCTACACGACCTGGATTCCTTACCCTGTTTCCGTGGCCTTCTTTCCCCTACCCCTGCACTTCGTCGTTTTCTACAACCTCGCCCTGATTGGGTTGGGTGGCATTCCGATCTTCTCCTCCTCTAGGTCCCACACACCCTGATCGACCGCATCCGAATCAGCGAGGCGCATCCCCTTCTTCACAAATAGGGTCCCCCCTTATATCCTCCTCCCATTTACTTGAGGACCCCTCCCCTCCTCGACATCTTCCCCCTCCACAACCTCCTGAGCGTCGGCAAGCTTACCTTGCATACTTCACCCTATCCCAGTGACTTCTCCTTCGGCTTCCTCTGTCGCCGCATGCCCTTCCTGACCAACCAAATCACCAGACAATCACCCCCACTAAATTGACCTATTCTGATAGGATCAATCCCCAAGCAGCCATTTTTATTTTTTCGCCTTCTATTTGACATACTATTACACATTTCACTAATACCATTACAGAATAGCAACACATCTAGTGCAAAAAATCAGAAGGTAAAATCAAATGCAAGATTCTCTCTCTCTCTCTCTCTCTCTCTCTCTCTCTCTCTCTCTCTCTCTCTCTCTCTCAAACACAGTCTACGGAGAATGGTCTTACTGGAATCATAAACAATGGAGATGCAGCTTCTCCTTTCCATGTCAAATCTTGCAGATTTCTCTCTCTCTCTCTCTCTCTCTCTCTCTCTCTCTCTCTCTCTCTCTCTCTCTCTCTCTCTCTCTCTCTCTCAAACAAAGTCTCTCTCTCCACAC